AACAACACGTTACACTGCAGTGGATAATCTCGACACGTTAACCACTTCCCCACGTTGCCACGATTGCCTTTGGGTGATAGAGCATTTTGTCATGCCACATTTTCCGGTGGGATTTTCGATTAAGCAAAGTTACATTTGCTATGACAATTGACCACACTACTTATTTTTCCTTTATAAGTAGAGTTGCGAGACTACCTGTCAATCGAAGTTATATGAAATATATTCAACCTGTTTCCTTTAAGTGGTTGACTTCGTTTTGCTTGCTTGCTATGCTAGTTTTTGGTGTTTTGGCCAGTTAAGAAACCGAAAATGTATACCAAACAAATTGTTACCTGAATTTTACCAGAAAGCATATCCTTAGCCCCATGACAGTCCATCCTGGATGAGAACACCTTTTAGGAAAGCAAAGCTGTGCGAAATTTAATGGAAGCGACAACTCTACTCATCAGATTTTGGGCATATTCAACTACCAGTGCTCCATCACCTTAAACCAAATGGAGTGAATAAATTTGACAAAATGTGTCTTTGCTTGCGTTTGAAGAGGCTGGTGGAAGAAATTCGGTATTTAGCCGCTGATCCGTTAACAGTGACGGAGTGGAGTGAACCATTCGAGGGTGTGGAGTGGACAGAGAAGCAGCAAAATGCAACAAGTGGGCAGACAGGCCTACACGAAATGGAGCTCAAAGTGACCCTGCTTTGCAGTTGCTGCATTCCACGCTTTGAAGACCAGATAGAGCCAGTCGAGACACAGAAGAGTGTTGTGAATGTGTCGGGTCAGGAGGGAGTGAGCTGGTCTCATCCGACATCGACTCTTCATTCGGCTTCAGCGCGTCGATCGGTCGCGCAGCCACCCGCAAACGACTCGAGCTTGGCTCGTCTGGTTCAGCACCCTCACATAAAAAGTCACCATCGCGTAACATCCAAGAGTGACGGTCGCCGATGCAGCAGGTCGTCTCGAGACCCCTGGAGCCCGCCCACTCATCACATTTCGGTCGATGAGGGGCCGGTCTTAGCCCCAGTCCTTGTGTCCTCGTAGCCGAATCAGCTCACCAACATTGATCTTATTCTTGTCACTTTTGTATCCTCCTTAAATTCATGTTATTTATGTGTATGTGTGTGCGTGTGCGCGTGTGCGTGTGCCGGCGGACACAGTGTCTGGCTACAAATCCTGCCCGAGAAGGACAAATGTGGCTTGCTCAGGAGAAATTTGCGGGCGAGTCTGTCTATTGAGCCTGAAATCACCACCTGTAGTCAAGTGTGTAATGGAATGAAGGATGATGTGGTGTATGAAATGGTGTGTAAAGTGTTAAGTGTAGAGTGAAGTGTGGAGTTGGTGCGCCAAAGAGTGCAGAGACGCGTGTGATTGAGATAACAGAGAATATCAATTGGTTTACTTGTCTAAGTGGATAATTGCTGAATAATTATGACGAAAGAGCACACCTAGTCGGCATGGGGAGGGTAGGTCGCAGCAAAACGCGCATGGAGGAAGGGGGGAACGGGAAAAACATAGAGACCTTTTTAGTGAGGCTGGTTGCAAAAGGTGCATTCAAACAGAGAAATACGACGCACTGAGAGGAGGCGAGAAAGAGAGCGAAATGTAAACGAACCTGTTTGTTGCATTAAGTTGTGTGACTGTTTCGGTTGCCTGCATGTTTATTTGGCATGGTACCAACAAAAAACTGCTCGAGGTAAGCTGGATTAAACCTGTCAGTGATCGAGGCTCGTTGAGAAGACCGGCACTTTGGAATGCTCACAAATACGCATGTACTACGCCAACTGAACTCCCGCCGGTGGGCACACTACCACGCTGCGTGATATCAGAGCAGATTGAAAAGACTATCAGCACATTTAAGGGTAGCGGGAGCGAAAGGAAAAGGGAGAGAGAGAGGGAAGGAGAACAGTCGACAAATAGAAAGGCAAAGACGCACGCAGAAACAAGGATACCATTGCATAAACATTAGCCAACTGTGCCGCTTGGTCCTGTCTGCAGATCACTCGGGACTGGGACAATTTGTTTAGCTATCACCGAAATGACTGGATTCCTATTTTGTCCACAGACTTTTCCAGATAAATGGGTTTTTCTTTCTACTACTTAACTTACCATCAGTAGGCGGCTGTCGAGCTGGCAGAGCTGGTGAGTCTGTCAAAAACGAAGAAATAGAGCTCAATGCTGTTTCGACCATTTCACTAGTACCCAATGTTTCGCCCCATCTTCTCTTGTAAATCTGCTTTTAGAGAATTTAAGAAGCAATCAAAACTCAATTGCCATTCGAGCAGAAAAAGAAATGTAACTTCTTTTTACGCACGAGAAAGAGTTTTACAAGAAATTCCTGTACCAGCAAGGCTTCCGTATGTTAATGCTCGAGAGAAGGATAGGCATGTGTTTGCTCTGCTGGAACACTCCGACTGATTTAGTCATCGAGAAACACTTCCGCATTTGCGGCAAAAATGTGATGAACTTGGTGGATTTTTCGTTTTTAAGTAGGTTTATCAGATCACCAGTAGTTCATGCATATGGAATGTATACATGAAGGAGTGGTAGTTGAATATGCCTGTCCTAAACCTAGAATTAAACGAAATAGGGAAAATATACCTAATAAATATATCATCTACTTTTAGTCTGCAGAGCATACTTATATGCGCAAAATAAGTAGTATAGTCGATTGTTATGGCAAATACAGCTTTGCTGCATCGATACCTACATCCCTGCACATAATGCGATATGGCCTTGGTTTAAATTCACTTCGGCCCTGTGAGCCAAGGGCACTCCCCACAGTGTGTGTCGTGGTAGTGGGCATGTCGAGATGATAC